GGATTGCCATTCATTGCTGCAGAATCGGGGATCTCACTAACGATAGAGGTGGGTGGCCCATGATGTGTGACCCACCTGTCAGCAAACGCCGTCTGAACGGCTAGCACACGAGCCTCAGCTGGTAAGGGGATGAACTCTGGATATTTGGAGAACCGATCCACACATACCATAACCTGACGCATACCTCGTGGAGTAGTCCTACCCAAGTCAGTGAAATCAATAGACACTGACTGTGCAGGTGCATCAGGGATAGGTAGGGGTTTGAGTAGGCCAAGAGGAGGTCGACGTACAACCTTGTTCCTTTGGCATAGCTCACAGGTTTCCACAGAGTGCAGCATGTTACTTCTCATCTCCTTCCAAAAGAAGCGTTGCGACAGGGCTGCATAAGATTTGAGGGCCCCAAAGTGACCACGGGCATCATGACACTCTGACATCAGAAGTGTCCTCAACTTGCGATCCTGGGGAATGCACAGGCGTTCCTCACCTCTACTGCATGTATACAGCAGGCCTGAAACCATAGTATATCCTGGTTCAGAGGCAGGATCATCCTGGAGATTCTTCACAATAGGCCCAAAGATCTTATCCTGGGGCAGCAACTGGGCAATGGTCTGACGTGTCCTCTCTCCAAATGAGTGAGTAAAGGAGATCAGAAACAGAGCGGCAGACCTACGAGAATGGGCATTTGCTACTCGATTGTAGCAGCCCTTCTTGTGTCTCAGTTCAAAGTCAAACATGTCAATGAACTGAATGTAGCGGGCAAACTTGTCATTCAACTCTCTCTGGGACTTCATCCACTAGAGGGTGGAGTGATCTGAAAAGATCTTGAAGTGCCTGCCCAGGAGAAAGTGTTTCCAATGCTTGAGCGTTGACACAAGGGCATACAACTCTTTCTCATAGGTAGAGTCCTGCAGCTTCTTGGTCTTGATCTTCTTGCTCATATACTCAATGGGCTGCAGACCATTCCCGTCATCCTGCTGAAGTACCGCTCCTACCCCATACTGACTAGCATCAGTCGTAAGCACAAAAGGTAGGGTAGGGTCAGGTAGCTTCAGGACAGGGGCACGAATCAAGGCCTCCTTGAAACGTGTGAAAGCCTCCTGACATTTTGATGTCCAAAGAAAGGAAGTGTCTTTCATTGTGAGATCCGTCAAGGGTGCTGCAATCGCAGAGAATTTCTTGATGAACTTCCTGTAATAGGATGCAAGCCCCAAGAAAGACCGGACATCACGAATGTTAGCAAGTCGCGGCCAATCCTGAACGCCAGCAACTTTCGTTGCTTCAGGAGCCAACCCCTCTCCAGAAATAATGTGGCCCAAATAGACTACAGAGGGAATCCCAAAAGAGGATTTATCCCTGTTGATCTTATACTGATTCGCACGCAAGGCCTGGAGGACCAAAGCCAAATGTTGCGCATGCTCCTGGACAGAACGACTGAATACCAAGATGTCATCCAGGTAGACAACTACGAACTTGTCCAGGTAAGTCCTCAATATGCGATGCATCTCTGTTTGGAAGGTGCCTGACGGATTGCAAAGACCGAATGGCATAACTAGGTACTCATAAGTCCCATACCTGGTTTTGAAGGCTGTCTTGTGGACATTGCCTTCAGCCATCTCAATCTGGTGATAACCAGATTTGAGATCGATCTCGCTGAAGATGGTACAACCCTGCACCATGTCCAACAAGTCATCAATACGAGGAAGAGGTTCTGTAGACTTCCTCGTGATCTTGTTGAGACCATGATAATCCACGCACATCCTGAACTCACCATTCCCCTTTGGAACAAAGAGGACTGGTGCCCCAAACTCAGATGTGTTGGGTCTGATCCAGCCCTTGCTGGTAGGGGTCTCTAACTGTTTCTTGAGCTCTTCAAGTTCAGCAGGAGACATCCTGTAGACCCGGCCCTTGGGAGGGACCGAGCCAGGCAGGATCTCAATCTTATGTTTGGTCTGCCTATGGACAAGTCCAATAGGCTCCTCCATAAGATCTGAGAAGCTGTCCACCACCTGCTGAATCTGAGAGGGACAGGGAGCAGTCTCCACGTCAGTCTCTTTGACAAATGCCACGAACAAACGGGCGTGGTCAGTCTGGCGTGAGAATCGCAGAAATCTGCGAGCACTCATACAATAACAGTTGCTGGCCGGATGGTACTCGTCAGCGCGCATGCAAGTGCGATATACCCCATGCCGGTCAGGCAGCTCAACCCTAGGGATCCGACAGTCGATCCTAGGATTGGTGGCTCCAAGCCACTGCATAGAGAAGACAAGGTCAAAGGGAACGTTAGGGAACACATAGGCGATGCCTAACTTCCCCCTGCTTGTCAAAGGACACATGTAGGCCCTTGACAGCAGTAGTGATCCTGACTGTGGAGGAGTCTCCAATACGTACCTCCAAAGTAAAAGGGCCTTTACCCGATATAGGCCTCAGGCCTTGCAAAGGTAAAGCAGCATGAGCTTTGTAAAAGTAAAGCATTGTGAAAAGGTATCTCGCCGGGGCTCAGAAACGTGAAAGCAGGTCAAAGTTCAAGTTCTCTATCAACAGGCACATCTAAATCTAAGGGAAAGGGTATTATCAAAAGACTTACCTGTTCACTAGGAGATGTGTATGTCATGTCTGTTCGGGTAAGAGTGTGTCTGTACGTGCAGGCAGTGTACCTGTTCGTGCAAAGGAAAGTGTTTGTTCAAGTGGTAAATGTGTCTGTTCGTTTAGAGTTGTGCCTGTCCGAAAGTAAAGTCAGTAGGCACAGTCCCAGTTCTGGTCTAAGTCAAGGGGTCAGTCCAAATCCAGACTTTCAAGTCCAAAATCCACATGCAATGCAGGGTCTGGGACAAAGGGAGAGGCTGAATTGAGCCAACGCAGACCCAGCGAGGAATGGCCAGCACTATAAAGGAAGTTGCCAGCCTCATTCCTCGCCAGATCTCCACTGGCTGCAATGCGTGGAAGTGCTGGTGCACTTGTGCGCTGAGTCAGGAGGAGCAGCGCTGGAGGTAGAAGATGCGCTGAAGGAGGGAGGAAGAAGCCTGTACGCTGGAAGTGATGCA